TCCAAACCTAATAGCGATGGCCTCAAACCTAATAGGGATGGCCTCCAACTTAAGAGCGATGGCCTCCAACCCAATAGTAATGGCAATGGCCTCCAACCTAAGAGCGTTGCATGGTTCAAAGATACAGCGCAGGACAAACAAGGTGATGGGAAAAACACAACGGTGATCGGGAGCTTGAGTTTGAAGGCATTTTGAAGCACTGTAAGTCTGTGAGAGAGCGCTTGAGGCAGGTGCTTCTGGAGTGTAGTTTTGCAAAAACTCAGCAGCACAGTGCCAGTTTGCATTCCATTTATATACTTTCTGCAAAATCGCCGCGCTTGTTGTTTGATAAGATTGTTTACAGTACTCGGTTCGTTGTGTCTTTATATTGTAACTGCATGTGGTCTCCGATCTTCCCCCTGCTCCGTGTAAAACCATATTCCAACTGCATATAGAAAAAAACGAATTCTAATAACTGCTGAGCTGGTTACGGCCGCGCAAAATTTGTTAGGTTCCAGCTGGAAGCGAGACCAAAGACGGGCCCACGAAGGGGCACTCTTCGGGTTCACCCCGGGCTGGCGCAAGGCCAGACGCACTCGAGAAATGCGCGCGGAACTGATCGTGCCAGGGTGTGGACCGGAGAAGCCTAAGCGACAGAATTGCCTGGGTAAAACAGGTAGTATGCAAGGTGGTCAGGTCATCGTAGTCTTGATGATGCCTAAGCTCATAAGGAAAACGGAAAACGTGACAGGCTCGATCAACGAGTGCATGACTGCTGAAAATTGTGGGTGGGTCCACAGACTCACCCAACCACCCATTTCTCTAGCTTCAGTGGCTAGCGTCGAGAAATGGGCCAAGCTAGGAATGGGTAGAAAAATAACTGCCAAAAGGTACGCCCAGAGGGCACCCCCTCGATATCCTAGTCTGAACCTGGGGCTTCGTTGTCTCACGCCAGGAACAGACCCGTGAGACCCCGGCCTGGATCTGTACAAGTGTAAACGCGTAGAATAGACCAGACGTAGCTGTTAGAATCCCCAGATACGGGGGTTAGAAGTGTGCAAAACAAAGGACCTGAATAGCAACCTAACAAGCCTAGAGAAGAGAGAAAGTGAGAGAAGAGCAAAAGAAAAAGGAAAGAATCAAAGCGCTCTAGGCGAATGCGCGTTCCGAATTGGCGCAAGCCTAAGTTACAGCCTAAAAAAGCCTTGGCAAAAAATGCTGAATTACAACCTAACAAGCCTTTAGCAGAGAAAGAAGGAGAGAAAGAGAGAGAGAGAGAGAGAGGGGAGGCGAAACGAAAAAGAAGGAGAGCAAGATCGACTGGTCTGGCAATAAATTCTCGTGCAGGTGGTGGAGATCAAAACTTCAAGTAAAGTTGGTACCAGTCGAGGCTGGTGATAAGTCGTTGTCGGCGTAACCTCTTTACCACTTAACAAGCCTAAATTTAGAAGACGAAAGGAAGGAAGGAAGGAAGGAAGAAAGAAAGAGACACCAAACGAGAAAAAGACAGGGCACTCCAACCGGAAGTTAAAGTTGAAGCCAAAAGAACAAGTTGGAAATGCTGATCTTTCGTGTGTGAGACAGATTCTGATTCAGTGTGCATTTCAGTACGTAAGCTCTGCAGCATCAATTCGAAACGTTTGTGTGAAACGCATCCTGATTTGAGCAAGAAAGTTTCTGCGAAATAAGTTGTCAGATTTGTTTTGCTGTGTAGGAGTAAAGACTCAGTAACGGCGCCCCTGTCGGGGATCACACAGCTCCCCACAGTGGGAAGAAGCTGCGGCAACAACACTTGAGAAAAAGTTCTAAAGAGCAAAGTTTCTGTGTGGATCTCGGAGAGAATTAGCACTTTACTTTCGTCAGCCCTTTAGTACGCAACACCGGATGAGAACAGCTTGAGCGATACTTAGAACCACAAATATTGTGTTTTAACGCCCCAGACAAAATACAGCACCTGCCACGCAAAACGACCATGCAATGATGATGAGGACAACTTTTTGCCAGACTGTCGACAAAAAAACACCAGCGATCAACGCGAACGCTGGCTCCGAACCCTGCCTTGGTATCACCGAAGCTCTTAGTTGCAAGGAACCTGTTTGGGGAACAGCCCGAACACAACAATACAGTCTGAATTGACTGCGCAACTTTCGTGAGCGGATGAATTCTCTTCAGGATGAAATCCGCCCTAGTACAGTAGTCAACAAAGAATCTTTGTCACAAATCATTGTACAATATATGATTGTATATGGCACTATGGCACATTCAAACTGACAGATCTTATTGCAAGAAGCTGCGTGATTTTGATCCATAGAAGCCAAGCAGCTCTCGCAGCTTATGCGTTTGCCAAAAAGGCTTTGCGAAGTAGACTGTACCTGAAAGTACAACATGTAGCTGAACGCCCTTGCTCTACCTTGTGAACAACATACAGCAGCAAGAAAAGTCATGAGTCATGAGCAATGAAGGCTTTGCAAGCAAGGAATCAATGCAGTTCAGTTCGGCATCCTATTTTCCCGCAAGGGTCGGCATCTCCATCCCTCCCCACATGAAGCGGTCAAAAAGCTGCCGAGAAGCGCTCAGCCCGAGTCGTCGTTTTCAGTTGATGGTCACACTTCAAACCAACTGAAACAGTTCAAACAAAAATCAATCAAAAACATCTCAGAGAGTCTCATCCAGAAATGTTCTCAAATCTCAATAATGGAGGCAAGGAGAACCTGAAGATAGTCACAAGGCAAAGCGTATTCGAAGATTTGAAGCGCATAGGCGGGCCGCCAGGGGCTGCATGGGGCTGCCGCGGTTTGAAAGCTCTCCGAACTGAAACGACACACCGGGCGTCACCAGCTCACGGAGCTTGGAGGGTGAAAGCGGACGAGTGACTAGGACTAGGGTGACACGGCCAAGTTCGCTGGTTTGAGTAAAACGAGTTACAACGAGCAAAACATGCTGAAATTTTTGTACGTGTAGTTTTTCTTTTTCCAGAACGTGGCACATTAGGATAACGCGCTCGTACTTGTGTGCTTCTTGACCCAGCTCAACTTGAAAAGCCTTCATTCTCGAGGGCTTTTGCCTGAGAAAACAAAACTGTGTCTTAGAGCTCGGTCTTCGCGCTTTTGGCTTCCAAGATGGCAATCTTGTAGCCGGTCTTGTCTTTAAGTTTGCCCAAAGATTTCCTTGGTGTAAAGCACAACAGGCGACAACTAGAAAGCACTTCAGCAAAGAAGCCAAAGACTTGTGACCTCATCATTTCATACTCTTCGTTCCAAAGGCACTTGAGATCCTCCGACTTCTTCATTGTGGCCATGGCTTCTTCCTTTTGTTTCTCGAAGAGATCGCTTGAGGCCTTGTACTCTGCCTCCAAATCCTCTAACTCCTGTGTCAAGTCCCGAAGGAAGTCTCTACGTAAGTCTCAATCATCATCAATCCTCAAATGTCCCAGGCAATGGCTCCCATGAGTACACTTACCACTTGGATATGTGAGTCCTTCTTTAGCTTGCCATGCTCCTCCTTGATTTTGTCAAGCTGCATATCTTTAATCTCCTTTGTGGTCAAACCCAATGCCACATTGAGAAAACTGAAGCGATCAATAACATGTACAGTATCAAACTGTATCAAAAAACATCACAAAGAAACGGCTCTCCTCTATGTATGCGTTATCCTTCTTATCACAGTTCTCTCCCGTGTCTGGTGAGCACGGCAGCTTTGAGGCCCTCTTGACAAACTTGTTCAGAGCCTTGAGATCTCTAGCATCCTCGTATGTATCGCCTTCCTTTGACGTCCTTGGGCTGAAATACTTCAAGGTGGGATAGCCCTGCACGCCATACTTGCTGCACAAATCTTTCGCATCATCCGTCGTACAGTCGACGTCCACAATGACTGCATTGGAGTCAGCCTTGTTCCACTTGGACGCCAACTTGTCCTCAGCACTTGTCTCACTGAGTCCTTCAACATCCTTCAACAGCAACATGCGGAGGCGCACCCCACTTCGGCGTTCTTGTTTTTGGGAGTTCATGGGTTGGTCGTTTTCCACTTTGAATACCTTGCATCTTATCAATGCGCTGCATATTTTTGTTGGTTGTTTTCCTCTTTGTTGAATATCCCTGAATATTGTTGACCTTTCTTTTCGCAAGAACACATACTGACTTGATTGCGTGATCAAATCCTTGATTGGCAAGCACACCACGACTGGTAACTTAAGGGTGCTGCTACTACAAAAACGCCGCTGTTGAAACAAGCCGTGTGGACCCAAACGCATCGCTTCAGAGCATTGTAGATCCACGCGCGCTGCTGCTTGGTGACTGTGTACTTACCTCCGCGTGGTGCCTTTCTCGGGACTGCCTTCTTTGCAACAGTACATGTTGCAGCATCCCAATGTGCTATCGTGGGTGGCACACAAGGCCAACTTTGTTTTCTTCCATCTAGAGTCATCTTGAAACAACTGTGAATGGGCCACCGGCTTTTCGAAGCTGAGTTTTTTGATGAAGAGATACTGAATGATCTTGTCGTTATCGTTTCCGTTATCGTTCCAGGACTGCCGGCACGAGAAGAACCAGGTGAAATGGTCAAAAGTGGTATAATAATGTATAATATACCAATGTTCAAAAACATTGCCTTGTCGTTCTTGGGGGTTCACCATATCGTTTCCAATGGATTGTGCTAGTCTTGCAGGGTTGTCATTCCCATTAAACTTGTATCAATTAAAATGAAGAAGAATAGTTTAGCTTCTTGTTCAAGCGTTCCAAGTGCGCTTTTGCTCGTAATTCGCTGCAGCACCAGCACAGCAGCAACACATGCACCCTTTCATGCAGCGCTACAGTCGTTCCTATTTCTTTGCAGCCAAGTACAAAATGATGAACAGTGACAATCGCACTCTCCATTTTTGGTGGGTAATCAGATTTAAAGAATGGACTAAAAGGCCCTCGCTGCCTACATATTTCGATGATGTGCAAATCTTTTGAACCCCCAAGCAGCAAACAAGCACCTGCTGCATTACGAGTGGTCAACAAACTATATATATATATATAGATATACTATCACTTCCTCCCTCCCTCCCTCCCTCCCTCCCTCCATCCATCCATCCATCAATCCATCCATCCATCCTTCCATCGATCTGTATATATATATGTATACAATACTATACTCACATGTTTTTTATCTTTTTGACAGTGAACATTTGTTGCCACTAGCGACCGAAGCGACCGAGCATCCCAGTCAGGTTTCAGCTTCTTACAGTGTCCTCACCACGGTGCCTCGGACCACATTTTGTATTTCACACAGTGCCACACATGTTGCACTGATCTATACAAATGACAGCAACAAGCAAACTACAATTTCACTAAGGTGCCAAGAATTTTACGAAGGCCATCTTCCCAGAATTCACAGGCTTCATGACCTTCTCCTGCCATCAAAGATCTCTCTCTCTCTCTCTTTTTCGCCTTTTCTCCTTGCCTCTGTCGCTTTACATCACTTCACAACACAAAAAGAGCTTGCAGCTGTCGTTTTGGTCCTCCCAGTTTGCAGCTGTTGCTTCGAAAGCTGCTGCATGGCTCAGCAGCAGAGCTGCTGCAAAGTGTCTCATTGGGTCGCGTGTCCCAACGTGTCCCAGGGGTTCGCCCTTTTGAAGCTAAACTTTGAATGCGAAGGCCTCAAGATGCCTCAAGCAAACCCCAATGTTCCCTAGAATTCCTTTCGACTCAAGCAGAATCTCATCACCCGAGACATAGCAGCTCCGCTGTGCGCGCACCTCTCTCTGCAACTCAAATTCAATTCTTCTCCTGTGGCTTCAATTCCAAGAAGCCGTTCACTTCGTTGGAACAGTGTGCAAAACAAAATCAGAGGCTTTAGCAGCTTAAGCTAGACTTCCGCCGTTAAGAGGTGATACCGTCATGCAGAGTTCACAGTCCCTAGTTGTCTCAATCCATGTGGACTTGTCTCAATCTAGCTGGCCTTTTTGCTCCCCTTCTAGTAATTTGGCATCTTTGGTCTCTTTGGACCCGACCTGAAACAGAAAGGGCGACCTATATTCAAGATGTTCACAACAGTTTGCAGAGGATTCAAGCACATCTTGCACCGTTTGCTCTCAAGGTGCTGTAAGCGTGAACTTATAAATGTTGAATCACACGTGAACCTGCTGGGCTTCTTGCTAAGGTAATTTTCCAGGTGCTTTGTTGGTTTACCTTTCGCTCCAACTGCCGTGCCTCATCTGACACTCTGTCTATGCAAACCTGGCATACAAAATCTATGTTCAAATAACATATATGTATATTTATATAAATGCATTTTTCTTTTTGCAGCATTCTACTTCAGGAGTTGCCCCTACTTTGCGTCCTCCATCTCTAGTATTTCAAGCCTGCTTTGGCGTCAGCACCCTTTGAACCTGATCTGAAGCAAAAGACTCTCAAACATGTGTGTTCTTTTGCCAAACCTCGCGGATGGGCAACAATGTTTGGTTGGGCGAACTGCCCTGCCGCAAACACACCTTACATCAGCACTCGCAATCTTCAAAACTTGAAAAACATACACATTTGAAAAAAAAAACGCAACTTGGGCTGCCCAGGCTTGCTCTTGACGGACAGCAGCTCTCCTACAAACTAGCATGGTGCAAATAAGGTAACTGTTGGCAACCAGGAAACGGGAGGTTTTTGAATAATTTTGAATGGAGGAAAGTTCAGTTTCCCTGCAACTCTAGGAACCAAATCAATCATGCGAAGCCTGAGCAAAGAGCGCATCCTAGCAGAAGCGGCCTACTTAGAAGCTACCTCCTCTTATCGGCCACCCCCCGGGCTTAAAAAAGCCTGTTTGCTCGTCCTTGAAGATTCTGACCGCCTTCTTGAGGATGCTGTTTGAGCGAGATACCGCGGAGAACTCGGCACCTCGAAAATTGCGCTTCTCGCGCTAGTCCATGCCGCTGCTAGCCCTAGCCCCAAATTTCAGGTTTTGAATTCCCACCTGTCGAGGGGATGTCCCGCAGGAGTCACTTCGGGACCTCTCCTGGCTGAGCACAGTCGCATGTGATCGAGAGGTGAACAACACTCTCGGTCACCCTGTCTTTGCCTTTGCTCAGTTTGTAGCTCTTCTATCCCCACAGTCGACATTCCACAGCAATGCTCCTTTGACACTTTGCATCGTTCCGCGGGAGCCCGCCTTGGCAAATTTGTCTCTTAAACGTAGTATCTTTGCATTCCGTAATTCAAATGTCTTCTATATTTCCTCTTCACAATCACATGCAAACCTGTTCAATATAGCACATGTGTACATGTGACATGAACCTCAACGCCATACTCTTCTCGCATGAATGGTCATTGTTCCAAAAATGTGCGAATCTCTAGACCCATCGCGAAGCATGTGCCTAAAGAGCACAATATCATAAACTTATATATAACATATATATATATATCCTGATATATGTATAGTTGGTATGTGCTGGAAGGAAACCTTTGATAGATTGAGGAGAAGCAAATAATACATTCGCGGACCCCCTAATCGATTTTTTGCTAAGGGATTGAACATTCTTAGCAACAAATCAATCAGGGACCCTTTACAGTAGATCAACGGACATCCTTGGTAGAACAACTTGATGTCTATAAGAAATGCTTGCAAAGCATTGACCTGAAATGCTTTCCACAGCCTACTCTCCCCATGCTCACGCTGCAAAGAGGGTTGGAGTTTGGGGGGAGTTTGGTGGAACGTCATGGAATGTGAGTGGTCCAGGACATCCACGAGCTCTTCAGCGCCAAGTCAGCCAAGCAAATCGTCGGAAGAAACCAAGCAACAAACATGAAGGCCATCGAAGATCTCACAAACATCCAAAATATTTATCCGACTCGTTGACTCCCAATAGATTAGAGCCAGTTCAGGTATGCCAAACAAAGATCAGCAAGAGCAAGTGTAGCTACATTGGCGAATGCAGCCCAAGGTCGAGGGATTCAAATCGCAAGGCCTGTGGCAGGCTTGGGGATTGCAATGTTGTAGTGGATCGAGGGATGGAAGAAAGCAGAATCGCCATGGAATGGCAGTGCAAAGCAGTGAACGGCTCCAAACTGGTCAAATGCGCCCACACCAGGTCAATCATATTCAATCATGCCACACACACACACACATTGCACTATCACACTTTCACACTTTGTCGTAAACGACACAAGAACACAGGAATCCTGCAGTGCGGGTTCGAGCCACAATATCTGATTTTCAGGCGGTGAAAGGGCTTCAAAGAGCAACATGCTCAAGTGAACCACAACTGACACTGATAACTGTAACTGTTACAACTCACTTCTGGATATCAAAGCATTGAAGACACTTTTGACATCCTTTCGTAAAATGTTGCCGTGACTTCGTTTACCGTCTGACTTCTAGTGGTCAGTCATGTTGCGCAAAGTGGAATCCAAAGCACCCTGCTTCTGACTTAGACCCCCGTGAAGCTGGCTTTGCTCGTGAAATCATGTGGCCACATGTCACATGCCGGTTCACAATGCTGCGTCACGTCATAGAAAGGGCGGGCTGTCAGGGATTGAGGCGGTGCATCAGAGCGGCTGAAAAAATACTGTAAGATACGGAGAACCGCAGTGCTGAGCAGTCAAAGGATTCCAAACAAACCCAAGCTCTGAGCTGTCTTTGGCTTGCGCTTCTTGACAACTGGTCGGGTGCAGAAGCATTGATGCTATTGAAGCAAGAAACACGATGCAAAAAAGAAACACACAGATGTCTGAACACGCCTCTTGTGCAGAATTTCTGGGAGACTGATTCCATACCTAGGCGGCCCATGCTGGCGTCAGTGCAAACACCAAAATGACGGCAAGTTTACTTGGGCCTTGGCACGGCGAAATTCAAAGGCCCTGCGCTCGGAAAATCAATTCCGATGAACGGCATGTCACCAACGCGAGTTGTTACACAAGTCACAAAGCGTTCATGGTATTCGTTAATGTTGATTCACAAACTGTGTTCAACGAGATACAACCTTGCGAACGAGATTGCTGGCGACTATTGATTACTGATTCATGTCATGTCTTCTGATTTTTGTTTTCTCGGCCTCGGTCTTCCCCCAGCTGCCTCGAGCAAACTAGAGTGGGTAGTGCCGGGTGTAGTGACGTGTAGAAAATGCCAAAGCACGTGCGCTACAAGCTGCACAACATAGCACAACCGCACACAATTCACACTGGCTGGGCGCACCCGAGGCTCTTCAAGGCAAAGCTCCTGTGGACAGGAAATCAGTACACAGAAAGTTTTTGATCCAAATGTGCAAATTAATACATTGCCTTGGTCAGCTGCTCACGGTTTGTTGAACACACAATTTTTTGCAAAAACTACAGTACCACCGTGACCCAAACCATTCCAAATTGTGTGGATCTTGAAGGTGCTTGTTCACTGAATTTTTTTCGGCAAGAACCTGGCAAACACGAAGGGGTCTGAGTTCATTGACATTATTTGGGAATGTTGAAGAGTTGAAGATGTTGAAGGGCATATGCTAAAAACTCCGGTGCCTCGGTATACATTGGTATACCTCTTCCCCACCTCTTGCCCTTCGCTCCTGCAGCATCAACTGAAAGCGATGATTCGCCTCGATGGCCTGTTCCAATCTTGCTTGCATCTCTGCCTGCAAAATTCGCAGCTTTTGGTGCAAAAACGTTGATACTTGTAATTGGCCTGTCTTGTCAACGCGATCTGTGAGCCTTTGAGGGGCTTGGTTGTGTAGGCCTCACGGGGTCCTCCCGAAACTTGTGGGCATGCACTTGTTTGCGCCGTCCAGCTGCGTTTTCGGAGCCACGCGCGAAGCGCCGTAAGCTCAAGGGCCCCACAGAAAGAACTCACGGAAAGAACTCGGCGCAATCCATCACAAAAGGACGATTCACACTCAACCTGTTCTTCGAGTGTCTCCGAGTTTTGCTATATACAGCCTAACCTGGTATCTACAAGTAGTGCCGTGGTGCGATCTCTTATGTTCTGGGCTTTCTCTGCAAGTCATCGTTCTGCGTTCTTCTTTCGGTTTTTGTCTTTGTCAACTTGGCCCGCACGCACACACGCGCGAATCGCATTCAACAAAAGATCGTGTTTGATGCTCTTGGTAAGTGCGTCACTGATGATTTTGTGCGTTGATCTCCAATCCAGCTTGTCCCTCCCTGAGGGAAGATGTCCAACGTTTGCCTTGGTCCATTGCAAAATCCTTCGTGGATCTTCGTGGATTACAGCATTCCTAGTCTCTTATCTGCCACCTTTGCCAGAGTCTCTGACTTGAGATGATTGCAAAGCGGTCTGTAATCTGAAAACTGCATGTGCGGAGCGTGAGATCTCATTTAAACTCGATTCCCAGTCCCTTCTGCGGTGTCTGATTTTGTGTCCACTTTCGATTCCCGATTGCAACGAATACGTCTCTGCTTGCAAAGTCGAACGGCGCACACGTTTAGACGTTTAATGGGTTGTCGACAAAAACCCTAACGGTAACGCTTGGTAGATGTGGGCATCCTTGTCTTTCATCTGGTCCACATTAGCTAAGAGGTGTGACTTGAAACCTGGTTCATTGCAGCGTGATGCGTCTGCCACCGCAATGAGTCCAACGTTGTTCCAGTCATTGAACCATTGGTGCCCAAATGGTTGCGAGAAAACCTGAAGGTCACATCTTCAAGGCGCCAATGACCAATACGCCCGCAGCGAACACACTTCGACTTTGACTTCAACTCACGAAGCTTGGCTCTTCGTTGTTCAATGCTCAGCTGGCTACGAACAACTTTGCCTTTGCCCTTGCCTTGGAAACCTTCCTGCCAAAACCTTTGCCTCTACCTTTGGCTTTGCAAATGCGTTGTATGCAGCGAACTGGAGTTGGATAGCCTCACCTGCCTGCTGCCCGTCGTCGGCCTCCCCGACCTTCCAACATAGCATTCGAGGCAGTTGCTTCTTCCTCATCTTCGGGATAATGAAAACTCCCGCTCCTGCTCCTCTTCCTCATGATATCCGTTTCCCAACCATGTGTGGGAGTCGCCTTCATTGAACTGTTCCTTTGTGGTTTCCCGATGAACGATCGCCCCCATGGGGGAAAATACACTGCGGAGCGCTTGATGCATCGTCTTGCACTATTTCCCGTTACGGACCTACCACAGCTACATCGGATGCCTTGTGGAGCACCTCTACCACCTTACCCCGCTCCCTATAGTCCTGAATAGTCTTTCACTCTTTCCCTTACCTTCGTACCTTTTACGACGACGGAAAAATCCGCTGCCATGCCCAATTGACCCCTTTTGTCGATTTCTTTTCCACACTTCCCTCACCCCACTTCCTGCACATTTTTACAACTCTCTCACTGCATTTCTTTTTCCGCTTTCTGCCCCATCACCTTCGCCAGAGGTTTGGCTCGCACCTGCATAGCGGTCAATGAAGACTTCGCAGTAGCCATCAAAATTCTTCGTCACTCCACGTGCCTTTACGACGAGAGCCTAGCAATGATCCACCACTCTATCTGGAAAGTGGCCACCATGAAGTTGGCTTCTTCAATTGCCCCCGGAAACATGAAGGACTTCGTGGCCTGCAAGAGTTGCTCCAATTCTTCCCCGCTCATCAAGGCCTCAACTCCGAGGTCTCTGGCCAACAGGAATGCATCACCTTGTAGACCTTCAAGAATCTCGTTCACGAGAGTGCTGATGTCAGGCTTCTCAGTCACAACCTAACCTCTTCTTCTTCCTCATCATCATCATCAGGTCATCCCTTCCTGGGTATGCGTCCCCACTGGCGACCTCAGGAAATGCAGGAAGATCTTCATCCTCTTCAGTGGCTCGATTGGGGATATCCTTCGATCGCTTCTTCTTCGGCGAAGGGGCGCTCTTCCGGGAGGTTGCTTTCGCCTCTTTGTTTTCCTTCCACAAGCGTATGCGAAGGCGTGTGCGAAATTCCCAGTCATGATGCGATGCTGCATCTCCGTAGTATATATGTGCAGATGAGTACTTCGTCCACCGACCGACACAACCGGCCTCAACACACAATTTCAAGAACACTTGGTTGCAATTTCTGGCACGAATTGCTACGAATCCTGGATCGGCGTTTACAGGCATTCTGGATGCAGTGGGAGGTACCCGAACCTGCTCCCCTACCAGTGTGAAAATGCACCCGTTTGCGTCGTCCAACTGCGTTTTCCGCTCGCGTGCGAAGCGCAGTAAGCTCAAGGGCCCTGTAACTCAAAATTGTGACAGAAAGAACTCATGGAAAGAACTCGGCTTAAACAATCCACCACAAGCGGAAAATTCACACTTGTTTCAGATAAATGCTTTGATAAAAGCTTTTCGTTGTGCAAAGCTTTTTGTTGTTTCCAGCTAAATGGAAGCACATTACAAAAATACCTGGAACAGAGTCGAGGCAGGTTTTTCCACCCAATACCTAGTTCTTCCAGTGCGACGTCCAGGTCTTCCCGCTCCGATGTTGAGCAAATGGGTTACTTGGTGGGAAGACCAACACCGCTTCCCATGTAGGATCGTTCAAGATTGCATCATGTTCCATGTCTACAGTTTTATACGGGATGGCTAACTATCAACTGACCAGCTCCTGGCACACTTGGCTGTTGCATCTCCAAAATTGCCGAAGCATCACCGATAGGGGCAGTTGTGAGTGGCTGCATTGTGCGTGTACCATTCCTCTTTTGGACTCATCTAGCATACACAAAGGATCTTGGCTCAAGATGTATGTACATTTCTGTGACCAGTAACACACAATAACATGAGATGTAGTGGGTGGCACACTGACTGAGATGTCATGAGTCATGATTGCTTACACACTCGAATCACTCAAGTCGCGCCTGAAAGCGGCACTCGGCTCGGGGCACTCGGAGCTGTGCTTGTTTTGGATTCGGTGTGTGGATGTGTTGTGGATCTAGAATTCAAACATGAATCTAAATGAATCGATTTAATTCTATTTACACATCCGTGCAGAGTTTGGAGCAAGAGGTGGCTTCAACTGACTTGTTTGTGCTCATTTAGGTTCCGAAATGCCCACGAAGTCTGGACACCATCAGCAGTGACTATGTCTCAACAGGTTCACAGCGCTTTTAATTTGCTTTATGCATCTGACCGAATTACTACTGCCTACTGTTTTACAACTGCCTACTTTCTAGGGCTCCAAAGCTGAGATCTGTCTAGATTGCTTCAAATCCAGTTACGCGCAAGTCGACTTGAACATCAAGCTGCCCTGCACAATCAACCAAAAAGAATGTAGCCAAACAAATACCGCGCACCATAGTACAGCCAATAGTGTGTCGCTTTCCCGCTGCACACTGAAGTGAACGAAACAGCGTCGGTTCCATTTCGAAGGCACGAGCAGAGGTTTCAAGTCTTGGCCGTTGGCAGCGTCTGACCAAAACAGCGGTCATCGTTTGGCGGTCGTGAACATATTTCGGTTTGGTATGCCATTTCACGAGATTATCAATTTTCAGTCGCGCCCTTCCGGCCATGCAGCGATGCGTAAAGGACAAAGCTGAGTGCCGTCAAAACTCTTTGTTTGACCTCCCACCACATACATTTGGGTGGCCCACCGCTTCATACTTTTGGACAACTTTAGACTTCAGCTTGGAGGGGAGGCTTTGCTTTCTTTTGGTTGGTAAGGTCTACACTTTTGCAAATTGAGATTGAAGGCGGGTCTTCTATTGTGCTCTTCATACACCTTCATGCTGTGGTTTGACATGTGTTTCAATGTCTGGAGAAAAGAAAACTGGGCTGTGGCGGAGACCGGCTTGGTTTTGGTGGAGACTACTGAACTTGGCTGAACTGATCACAGAAGCTGAGAAGGAAGGGAAATCAGGAGACAAAGGTAACGGAAGGATCGATAAATAAAGCAGTTTCTCTACAAGTCTTGCCAAAAGAGCAGCCAAAGCACATTCTGGAAGACACATTGCTGGGCCACTTGTGGACGAAAATCTGTTTTGATGACAGTGTGTCAATCCAGCTTCTGGCTCGATGACGGTATTGGCGAGCATGACAATCACTTCCAGCACGGCCTGTTTGTGCTTCAGACTGCAAACGCTGGAAACTTGATCTGCTTAATTTTGCTTCCATCTTTCCCGACTTTGCGTAGGGGAGGCGTCACTTTCACGTCCACTACAGAATGAATTAGTGCACAGAGGCGCGGCACATATGTTCAACTGTCTATGGAGCCACTGAAGTTGTAGAATCTACTATTTGTTTACATTTTCTTTCAAACATAATTATGTTTGTTTCACTTGTTTTGACATTGTTGCTACAGAACTGTTTGAAACCGGTTTGCACAGGAGCGTGCTGAGTCCTGTCTGGCTTGAGACTCAAGTAAGAATCGCCAAACGAAAACAGCTTTTTATCAAGGGGATACCGGAATGCCATGCGTCTTTACATAGACTTGTACAAATATATGTATATATATGTATCTTTATATACACAGTATGTATATATATATATACACACGATATACATTGTTCTATATACACACACACTATATAAAGGTTCAGTTTTTGCTGCAAACTAGCTGGCATGATTGAATATTATCTGAAAAGAGAACTTTGAAAAGGCTCTGAAGCTTCAGAAGGGAACAGCGAGAACCAAGATCGTAAATGTCCAACCGGATTGGCTTTATACAGGGCGCAAAGATTTTGCAGTAACCAAGATCGTAAACGTCCAACCGGATTGGCTTTATACAGGGCGCAAAGATTTTGCAGTGACTCCAGCTAGACCATTGACATGCGGGACAAAGCGCTTTTTGAACACTCCTGTGATCGGCAGCAAAAGGCAGCAAATCCAATGTACATCGACCCTGTCTGTGCAGGGCAACTCAAAGCCCGAACGGCTTTTTGCGCTCCAAAGCTTTCATTCTATCCCTTCACAGCGACAATGCACCAAGAAACCCATGTTAAACACACAACAAAAACACCATTAAAAAACTGAAAAAGTTACCTCTCCTGCATGCTGTCCTATCTTGAGTCATGTTTTCTTTCAAGTTGTCAACTTTGAAAACGTTTTTCCATGTCATTCCCTACTTGCAAGTTTTTGATTCCTGCCGACCCTACGTCTGTCTGACTTTCGGGCGCCATTCCGGCTTGCATTCTGTCTCCCTTTGGCAGGTTCAGAGTCTTCAATGCGCTTCCATTCCTTGACTGCAGCATGTTGAAGCATGCACTGTATTCAGTGCGATGAAAACACGAATACGAGTCAATACGAGATATGAAAAACATTGAAAAACTATGAACGGTCTCAATTTCATCAGAAGCTTCAAACTCAGGAGTGTCCTTGCCTACAACATACCAGCGTGCACAATGTGGGTTGCTTCGTACTTCTTCTGGATCTAGGCAGAACTTGCGTTGGAGTCCCCACCAAAGAAGGCACGTGTCATACTCATAGCAAATGGAGAATGTTCTTTGGCTCATTCTATCTCTGTCTCTCCCACTGTCCCTTGTGCAGCAACCAGTGACATCATCATCACTGGGTTCCTCGAAGCTCATCTGGTAAGTTTCTCCTTTGGGACCACGCCACTGGCCTTCTAGCAGACCTGAAACCCCTTCCCAATGCTCTGCGAAAGATGGCCATTTGGAACTCCACGAATCTGCTCTCTTCGCACTCTCTTTCTTTCCGCTTGCACTTTTTCTTTCTTTCTGCTTGCTCTTTGCTTTCTTTTTCTTCGAGCCCTTCTCCGCTTCGCACTTTGGTTTGTTCTCCACTTCAGCTTCTTCTTGCTTTTCACTGGACGAACCTAAGTAGTCAAACGATGCTTGGACCCTATCGGCTTAAAGTGGCACCCATTTTTCCGCAGTTTACAAAACTTGGCGCGAGCGATGGAGGAACATATGAGAGAGAGAGAGAGTTGCAAATAGTCTAAGCCACACCTCAAATCAAGGACTTTGCAAAAAGGGCACCTGTATGGTGCCCACAGTTAGCATGTTGCTGCGATGCGGTCTTAGGATGTGTTATGAGAACACAAACCACTTTTTCCCTTAAACCACCAAGCCTGTTTCGACCATTTGAGGTCGAAAGCTTGGCGAGCTCATTCGACTTTGCACTTGTCTGCCTGGTTCGGACTCGGGCTTTGGTATCTTTGGTTGTGGCTGTGATGGCTGCGAAAACGATGCTTTGTCAGACTTTGTCACTCATCAAATGCTTCTGATGAAGATGCAATCAAATTGCACGCTGCAAAACATGGGAGTGAATGCTCCAAACCTGAAGAACTTAAACACTGAATTGTGATGAATCAGGGCGATTCGCATTCGCAGAACAAAAACAAGTAAATCAAACTCCCGATCAGTTATCATCCTGGATATGTTTGCGCGCATGTTTTTGTTCACACCTTTCACATATCTTGTTTGTTTTGATTCTTCAAATGCAATGCTTCAGTGCAGTGCTTCATCAACCTAGCTCGGGACTCTGTATTCGTGGGCTGGCCATGACTTGCTCACTTGATGTGCTAGCTGCAAATGTCTCGGCATCATCAAGCACTTCGGCACGTGACTCAGTCTTGAGAACATGTGGAATGCTCACCAAATCAGCTAATGTGCAGGACGCGTCATCCTTCTCCAACTGTTTCATGGCAGCCCTTTCCAAAGCCATGTCCATCTTCCCATTGGAGTTGGTTACAGCACGGCCCCAGTTCCAAACTGAAGCACTTTCACAGTGCGCTGATTCACTCAAAGCGGCCAAGAGTCCAGCAGTGGAGGAATCGTAGGTTTTCAATAATTCATTTGGAACTGTAAAAAGAACATCGACTTCACAGGCCACTTTCTTCGGCCAATATTTTGCGGCTACTCTTTGCAGGACATAGAGCCTTTGGTTGCAGTTCGTATACCAGTGCATTTCGTCACCAGGCAGTGAAATACCACATGAACCATTGACTCTCAGCTTTCGTGGTCCCCATCGCACGACTTCAATGTTTGAAAACGGAGGCTGTAGAATCACATCATAAGGATGAAACGGCTCGGCGCTTGACTTGTCGCCAACTTCCTTGACTTTGACCAACTCGATCACCTCCTCCAAACTTTGTCCGTTTCGAAAGGTTGTTCGAACTCGGTCCTGTGAAAATCTGACTGCCAAAGGAGAAATCAATTTCTCTTCATACACCGGCATGCCGTCGGCGCAGCCGTTGGCTCGGCGCAGCCGTCGGCGCAGCGGCGCAAAACGGGCTAAGCGACCAAGACTGTGCTGGCTCTTGCGAAGTCTATGAGTCCATGCATCCAATTCAACATAATTTGCCGTTAAAACATGGCACTGACGCAAACCCCATGCTGTTGCACTGTTGCGTGGGCAGGGATTTGGAGAATGACAATCAAAAACCATGAGAAAACTGCGAGCTGAAAGGCTGAGGATATACAAGCAGTTGAATTTTGATGAACATTTTTTTTGCACATTTTTTCACTCCTTTAGTGGAGTCAAACAAATCGAACCTAAACAGGAGTCTTGTGGTTTGCTGCAGTCAATCTAAAGAGATCTGTTGAAAATCGATATGACTCTGAGTCGACTCCTGATTCCCGAAGACACAGGTGGCACTTGGCTGCTTCGTGTCGGTTGTTTTGTTCTTTCGTGTTTGGGTTTTGACACGAACGTCTTTCAGTTCTCTTCTCTTTTGTCTTTTGCGGAAGAGCCGCTGTGTCGCTAATCGTCATCATCCAGCGCCTGCGTTCGAACTTGGTTTTCTTGAAACAACATTTTTTACTAACAAACTCTTTGCCTCGGCCGGCCTCGCCTCCAACCAAGCTTTCTTCTCTTTGTTGAGGCGCTCCCACCGTTGCTGGGCCATTCGGTCACGTGCCTCTTTGACATGAAACATGGTATGGCAACATGTGAGGCACATGTCTGCACATTTAAAAACTGCACTACAAGTTGTAGAGCCTACAGGTTTACAAGTCTCATGGCACGAAGGCACTGGATCAAAAGAAAGATCTGCCGCTAGGTTCCTGCCTTTTCGTGCCGGGTCAGTTCAAAACATGTGCAGTAAGGCCGTGGTTCATGTTCAATTGCACATGCTGGCAGACAGGTAACGTGTCTTGTCATCCGTTCAAAACCTTTTGTTGGCTTCGCCGGACTTCGAAGGTGGTCACTGGAGTCACTAGCCTCTTGGCGCTTTGTCCACGTTCGCCACGATCTCCCTTGTGGCCTTGTCCCTGACGATCTTTTCATCACACCATTGGAATCTCTCTTCCTCCACAGGGCAATAGCCCAAGACCCGTCTCAAGCAAAGCAGGGAAGCGAACGCCTCATCATCAGCAGCAAACCATCACTCCTCTCCTCAGATGGCTCCACATGTGCCAGATCGCGCGGGCTCTTCCATGTGTTCCTTGATCTCATTGAAGCCCAGCTTGAAGAACATCACGTAGCCGACAAAGATTAAGAAGACCTTGCTTCAAGCCATTCTTCACATGGTCAAATCTCTTGGAGACCGCCTTGCAAAGCTCTGCGCGACAGACGGTCGCCGTAGTCCGTCTGAGAGGTGGTTTCCAGGTCGGGGTCAACTTGTCGGTCGCCTCCTCCCCCAGGCTTTCTTCCATCTGCAGATGAGAGAACGACGCTTAAACCGTAAACCTAACAAGTTGGATCTCCAACTTTCCTCTTATGGTAGACCAACATTGACTGCTGAAGCTCTGAGGCACCTGCCTACTGCTTAGCGCTGCTTACTAAGGCGCTGCAAAACACCTTCTTCTTCAGCTTCACGTGTCAGGCGGGCGCGTTTGATGAACCTGGCTGCTTCATGTTCGCTGTCAGCCTCACAGAATTGCTCTGCTGCTCCCTTTCGGCCAGCAAGGTCCGGTAGTGAAGGGCAAAGGTCGCAGAAGCGGTCACGAAGCCCTCCTGATCTTGTCAAAGTTTTGCCCACCATGGACCACATAGCCGGGGTCCTGCAGCGCAAGCATCTCGGCATCTGGACTGTCCGGGTCCTCTGCTCTCTCTCACTCTCTCTCCCTCTCTCTCTCTCTCTCTTCTGGGGTGTAGGCCCAACCTTCAGGCCGGAACTCAATGCTTGAAGTTTTGCTGACTCTTCCTGTTTTCATCGTGAGGCAGGCTGCCAAGTTGAAACCTTTAGTCTTTGACAATTTGTCTTAGACAGCCGCTAAACAACAGTGCAATGAAAGTCCCGCAGGCAGTCTCCATGGCCGTCCCAAACGAGGATCGAAGCATCGATATGCACCCGTTTCTGCCAAGCCAAGCCAACTTGCATCGAGGATCGCGGGCGTCTGTGTCAGCAGATCCTCGATGATGAGGAAAGCCAAAGAGCTTTGCAAAGAGCGAAGCCCACAAAGCAAGGCATGCAACGGCCACCAAAGGACTTGACCAGCTCCGCATGACCACTCTAGAATCGGCCGCTAGGCTACTGTTTCTTGTTCCGAATCACCTCAAGGCCTGTGAGGGCCACGCTTCATGTTCAACTGCACATGCTGGCGCAACCCCCAAAATCGATGACAGGGGACGCATTCGTCACTATGGTAGCAGTCATCGCGGTGGTGGTGGTAGTAGTAGTAGTAGTGGTAGTAGGGGGAGTGGTAGTGGTAGTGGTAGTAGTCCTAGTCGTAGTCATAGCCGTCGTGGTCGTGGTCGTCGTCGTGATGGTAGTGGCAATGGTAGTAGTCATGTATAGTAGTGCCCGCTTGCTCCGATTCTGTAGTGGTGCTACAGAAGTTGTGACCCTATTGGCGTGCTAAAGGAGGCTACTTTGCGACTGTATCAGAAGTAAGCGGCCACCTTACAAAAGGGCTCAACATAACTCAACTACATGTAATGCATTGACCACAGTCCCAGTCTGAGGGTGCGTTGAGTAGTTACTCTCAGGAAATCTCGAGATAGAGGCGTCTGCCTCTTGCAACTCTTGCTCTTCTTCAGAGTCTAAGACCTCCAATTCAAGCGAAGCACAAGTCTAATACCTCCAAAGTAAGAACAGGACAAAGGACAAATGAGGGACCTCAGCGCTAGCACGCTCTGCCCAAGCCTCAAAGCCGAGACAAATATGCAAAGCGACAAAGCTTTGTGATTTGAAAGATCTGACTCAATGTTAATTAAACTTTTTTGTCTGCTTTTTATCTGCTTTCCTTGCCTTCTCTTGAGTAGCATAATTGTTGTAGTGGCGCTCATACTCCTGCAGGCCGCACGAAATATGACAGTCGCTTGTCTGTTCTGTCCTTTTCTTTCTTGCAACTGCGTAAGATCACTCACTCTATGTCTTTATCATGGATCTTCTCTCATGTTGTCGATTCGTTTCCAAGCTCTCAGCTTTACGTGCATCAGGAACAGGGGACGGAGATCTGGCTGCCTTTGTCCGTGCCTTATATACGCAAGCGTTCATCGCAGTTCTTCACATATTTGTCCATCCGTCTTCTTCCGTCCCTTATGTTTTTCATCCCTCATTACTAGGAGCAAGAAGCTACTAGAGGCTCCTGGCATCGCTACTAGGAGCAAGGACGCTACTAGCCCCTGGCCTTACTGCTAACAAGGACGCTACTAGTCACAAGAAGCTATTAGAAACAAGGGCATCGCTACTAATTTTTTCCTCCTTTGCGTCTCTCGGTCCCAAGAGGTACACTAAGACGTCGACACCCGGTCGACTCCCACGCGGGGAATATGCAAGCGGGACCTGTTCCTGACAAAAGGTATGTTTCTTTTTGTCACGCAAAGCACACCCTCCCATTCTTGGCGACTTGCAAGGAAAAGCAAAGTGAGGTTGATGAATGTTGACATTTGAAAACAAGAAAAACACATGTCAGAAGCAAATCAAACAAACAAAACAAACAAACATCCGTCCTTGCGCCGAGGTCTGGGAGGTATGACATCTTTGGGCTCTGGAGGTACTTCAATCCGGGGAGAACCTCAAGCAAAGTGTGATTCGCATGTCTTTCCGAGCATCGAACCTAAGAAAACAACAAAAACCTCATTCTGCTCACACCATCCTTGCAAATCCAAGCGTCTCTCAATCTCTGCCTATCCAGTGCTGCTTGAGGTCACCAAAAACAAGAAAACCAACTGAAGTTGATTTCACAGGACACACACAGGAGACCCAGTTTGCAAGGCATACTTAGGAGGCCAAGTCTGCCTCTTCAGCAGTTCCGAGGTTCTTCTTATTTTCGAGGTAGTCCTCGAAGCTTTTGTCGATGTTGCGGTACATCTTCTTGGTCAATCCCTAAGGACAGAAGAAAATGGATCACTCTAACAAGAACGCTACTGGGAGCAAAGGGCATCCCTACTAGGAGCAAGGACGCTACTAGTAGCTCCTGGCCATACTGCTAGTAACAAGAAGCTACTACTAAAGGGCGTCGCTACTAGGAGCAAGCACGCTACTAGTAGCTCCTGGCCTTACTGCCAGTAACAAGCAGCTCCTAGTAAAGGGAGTCGCTACTAGGAACAAGGACGCTACTAGTAGCTCCTGGCCTTACTGCTAGTAATAAGAAGCTACCGGTAAAGGGCGTCGCTACTAGGAGCAAGGGCGCTACTAGTAGCTCCTAGCCTTACTGCTAGTAACAAGAAGCTACAAGTAAAGGGCATCGCTACTAGGACCAAGGACGCTACTAGTAGCTCCTGGCCCTACTGCTAGTAACAAGAAGCTACTAGCAAAGGGTGTCGCTACTAGGAGCAAGGATGCTACTAGTAGCTCCTGGCCATACTGCTAGTAACAAGAAGCTACTAGTAA